GTCGGGGCCCCCTTGCGCCCCAGTGGGGCCCTAAAGAGGGGCCCTCAGAGGCAGGTGGGGGCCCCAGGGGCCCCTCGGGGGGCCCTTCTTGGGGCCCCCCTGGAGGCCCCTTTGGGGGGCCCCCTGGGGGCCCCCCTGGGGTCTTTGGGGGCCCCTTTAGGGCCCCCAGGGGCCCCCCGGGCTGTGGGCGCTTTTAGATTTATTGGGTTCTGGAGGCGGCGCGAGGCTGAGCTGCTGCTGCTGCTGCAGCAGCAGCAGCAAGAAGCAGCAAAGCAGCTGGCAGCAGGGGCCCTCTGGCACATTTGGAATCCCCCAGGAGTTGTCTTCACTTCCCGCAGGTAAGGGCCCCCAAGAGCAGCAGCAGCAGCAGCAGCAGCAGGGAGAGCAGCAGCAGCAGCAGAAGACGCTGCAGCAGCAGAGGCAGTAGCAGCAGCAGTAGACGCTGCGGCAGCAGCAGCAGCAGTAGCAGCAGCAGAAGCAACAGGCAACAGCAGCAGCACAAGCACGCGCACACGCACAGCCACACAGCAGCAGCAGCAGCAGCAGCAGCAGCAGCAGCAGCAGCAGCAGCAGCAGCAGCAGCAGCGGCTCAAAGACGCCATTGACCTTCTGCGCAGCAGCGCAAGGGGGCCCCCAACCTCTCCAGAGGTGCTTTTTGATTTCATAGATGTGGGGCCCCACAGCCCCCTTGGGGGCCCCCCAGGGGGCCCCCAGGGGGCCCCCCTGGGGGGCCCCCCGGGGGGCCCCCAAGGGGGCCCCCTGGGGGGCCCCCAAGACCTGCAGCTGCGGCCTGACGACGCGTGGCTGCAGGGCCTCGCTGTACCCTATACTGCTTGTCTCTGTGGGGGCCCCCCAGTGTCTGCTGCTGCTGCTGCTGCTCCTGCTGCAGCAGCAGCAGCAGGTGCTGCTGCTGCTGCTGCTGCTGCTGGTGGAAGATTTGAAATGAAGCTGGCCACTGGGGCCTCAATTCGCATCGTGGGAGAGAGCAGCAGACAGGGGGGCCCCCTGGCAGCAGCAGCAGCAGCAGCAGCAACAGCAGCAGCAGCAGCAGCAACAGCAGCAGCAGCAATTCAGGTCCTCTGTGTTTTATGCTGCTCTTGTCCGCAGAGAACCCAGGCTGCCTAACTTCCGCTTCAAACCCTAAACCCTAAACCCTAAACCCTAAACCCTAAACCCCCGAGCTGAGACTGGGGCCTTTTCCTTTGAGGGCCTAGGGTTTGGGGCTCCGCGTGCTGCTGCTGCAGCACTCAGCTGCTGCAGCAGCTAGGGCTGCAGCTGCTGCTGCAGCTAGCTGCTGCAGCGCTCAGCTGCTGCTGCTGCAGCAGCTGCTGCACTTATCTTTAGGGTTTGACACTTTTGAGTTTCCCTCCGGCTTCATCTGTCAGCCTTAGGCTTTCTTTCGTTTGATCTGGAGAATTCAGTTGCCGAGGGTTTAGGGTTTAGGGTTTAGGGTTTAGGGTTTAGGGTTTAGGGTTTAGGGCTGGGACGGCGCTGCGCCTTCTGGCTGCTCTACGATTAACGATTAAATGAAAATGAAACGAAGTTAAATGAAATAAAACCCTAAACCCTAAACCCTAAACCCTAGGCTTGCCGTCAAGTGCCCTCTTGCCTTCCTTTCCAGCTAAACCCTAAACCCTCAGGGTTTAGGGTTTACACCCGTCGATTGTGCAGAAAGCACTGCAGCAGAGAACAGCTGGCAGCCGTCTTTGTTGCTGCGGCACATTTTGAATCCTTTATTGTTTTATTATTTTATTCATTTTATTTATTTTATTAATTTATTTATTTTATTTATTTTATTTATTTTATTTGGAGTTCAATTTAAGAACTAATAACAAAGAGGCGACCCCTGCTGCTGCATGCGAAGATCGCATGCAGCAGCAGCAGCTGAAAATGCGGACTTTGGAATTTGTCTGTCTTTTGAAAATAAGAACTTCGAGTTTGAAATACCATTTCATCTTTTTGATATTTCAATTCCGAATTTGAAGTACCATTTCCTCTTTGGGGAGCTGAGGCCAGAGGTCTCAGGCGCAATCGAGATTCAACTTGCCTCGAATTCCCTCCCTGCTGCTCCCTGGCTGCAGCTCTTGTTCTCAAAACGGAAGAAAAGCTGCAAAAATGGAGGAGGCGAAAAAGCGAAAAGTCAAAAGGGGAAAAAGTGGCGTTCGAGGAACGGGAATAATGGCGAAGGTGGGCGGGGTTGCGAGGTGTCTGTACACTCCGTCGCGCGCGCGAAAAAGCGGGAAACTTGCACGAAAACGAACACTTTTTGGCGTTTAGAGCACACCGTTGCATTTGAAATTGTTTAATTGTTTGGAAAATCCCAAAGATCGGGTCTGAGGCCTCTGATTCCGCAAAATATCGCCTTTTTCCTGTTTTCGACAGAGGCGAAAACTCGAAGTCGGAAAAAGCTGCAAAGGCGTCATCTTGACCTTCAACCGACAACCTCAAGAAGCCTGCACGGAATTTTTGAACATTTTAGACCGCGTGAGTTCAAAAGTTCTTTCTTTGCTTTCTTTGTTTGCACTTCCCTCTTTTGCTGCTGCAGCAGCTGCTGCAGCAGCAAAAGAGGGAAAGTGCGCCTTCTGCCGGGTCCTTAACTCCCATTTGAATTTCTAAT